CGGTCATGCATGTACCCATGGGGCATTAGCCCAACTATGCCGAGCATCTGCTCTATGTTATGGGCACCTGCCCATCGCGAAAGACATTCCGCCATGTCATACTTGCCAGCGACTAGCATGTTAATTAAAAGGTTATGAATATATGAAATTTATTAAATGTTTTACGATATTCCATTCTCTCTGTTTTGTTAACTAAAATGAATTGAAATGATGTTACACTATTAGAGTAGTACATTACTGAGTCTTCGGCTCACCGTTTTTATATTTTTATGTTTTAGGTACTGCTGGGAATGATGGAGACGAGTAGTGGCGAGGATCTTATTTTCAGCTACCACTTAGTTGTTTACAGTTTTAAGTTGTTTAATTTGAATAGTATGACTAAATTACTTTAGTAAGTTTATGTTATGATAGGATCTGCTATTAAGAGACAAGAATAATGTTTGTAATAAATAGATCTCTATGATTTATAAATAAAGTTTGTTAATTAAGTATGATTGTTGCCTTGTAACTCTCGAGAGGGAGTTACGGCAGTGACGTCCCGACCGAATTAGGTTAATTTCGCCGCTAAGATTCTCTTAATAACTGAATTAGAGGTCGGGGTGTTACAGAAACAAGAAAAGAGATTGAAGGATGAAAGAGATTCGAAGAAAGATGATGGTGATGGTGGTCCTGTTGGAGTAGAAATCACGGGAAGGAGAGAGAAATGACAGAGGGAGGTAGTTGGAGTAGTAAATGAAGATAAGGGCAAAACTGTAATTGCGTTGTGTGTTTTGGAGGGAAATGAAAAGGTGGGCCCTACATGCCGAAAAATGAAAATGGAAATGGGTAGTGCTACCCTAATTTTTTAAATTTAGGGGGTAGTTTTTTTTATTAAATTTTTTAGCGAGTAGTTGTTGACAAATTCACCTGTTCAGCGTGTAGTTCCGGACAATTTTTCCATAAATAAATAAATAAAAATAGATAAATAATCGAGAGAGGAGAGTTTAATATCAATGCATTTATTTGTTTAAACTTTAAGAAATTAAATTATTTGTTAATTTCCTTATGATTGACTATAAAAACAAGTAACACTATCGCTTATATAGTAACTCATGCACACATTACATTTCGAACAATCAAATACTCAGAGGATAAAATAAAGAATGTAAATATAGATTGTATATATCATATAATCTACAGTTATGTAATTATGGAGTAGCCAAATAAAAGTTGGTAAAGGCAATCATTTTATATTCTTATGAATCATGACCTCAATTCCATTAAATGGACTATATGCTTTTCAATGTTTGAAGCTAGGAGTGCTTTGATTTCTTTTAATTGACCGTAACACATGAGGTAACAAATTTGATCAACATTTGGAAATTGTCAAATCCTCTTACAGTTAGTGTCACAGTCCCCACATATACCTAAATCTTAATATTTGAGGCAAATTTACCGCATTATTTTATTTTTTTCCACTACACCAGCGATAAACTGACAATATTACTTACTTATTATATATATATATATATAGGGAGGTTCCGCTAAAAACAGAGCTTATGGTGAAAACTAAAAACAAGCAATCTTAGCCATTCATTACTAGCACAAAAGATCAGACGGTTCTAAAGCTCTAAGATCATTCCAACCTTACATATAATCAATTCAACCGTTTAAAAGGTCACTACATGCTTAAAATAAGGTAACTTCATCTAAATTGACGATATTTACATAGAGTCACTATATATAAAAATAACGTAACTATATACAAAAATAGGGTAGCTATATCAATTTTTACAATATTTACATTAAGGTCACTATATACAAAAATAGGGTAACTATTTCAATTTTGACCATATTTACATAGAGGTCACTATATACAAAAATAGGATAACTATAACAATTTTTACAGCATTTACATAAAGGTCACTATATACAAAAATAAAGTAACTATATCGACTGAGTTTTTGACACCATTTACATAAAGGTCACTATATACAAAAATAAAGATCACTATATATAAAAATAAGGTGACTGAAACAAAATTTAAAGCATTTCCATAATTCTAAGGTCATTATATCGAAAATAAGGTAACTATATATGAACTTCGGGTAATTATATCAATTTGACACCATTTACCCAAAGGTCAATAAATATAAAAATAAGTATTAAAAAAGTCCATGTAGGATTCGAACCTACATCCCGTGATTACACGGTGCTCGACCAATTGACTAATAGGCTTTCAACATGCCAAAACAGCCAATAAAAGCATACCAACATCACAGACCAACATCATACAGACTTCATACAGACTGAAGCAAAACAAGCTTGACAAGATCAACGTTTTAAGGACAGAAGCAGAGGCAAATGAAAGCATACCAGGAAATCATGATACAAGCAAGCCACCTGTATATGAGGAATCCCGACAAAATGTAGATATTGAACAGGCAGGCACCAAAAATCATACAATCAGAGATAAATCTTCACAAAGGCTGAAGAAGGTTACTACACTAACTCCAGCTGACAAGGTAAGATCAGGAATGATAGAGCTCGCAATAACGCAAACTAGCATACTCGAGTTCTAGAAATAAATTTCTAAAGACACACTTCTACCATTTAACTAACATGTCCTTTACCCTGCATGTTTCAGGATGATAATAAAGTATCAACAGTTATTGAAGATCAAAGGGAAAAATTGATACCTGGTGAAGTACAAATCATGATTCAGATAACAGAAAAAGGTAAGCAAATACATGCCTAAAATTTCAAGAGCAATTCTTAAAAAAAGACTCCAATTCCCCAATAAAAGAATATACCATCAGAGACTAGAGGATATGTATCCTCTACGAGTTTCTTATCCAAACAAATCTATTCATTTCCTGTCCATATTCTTTTTTCCATTTGATTCTTACACATATATATTACAATGTTCAAACACCATTTAAACCACAATTACAAGAACAACCATCAATGTTCTTGGTTAAAGAAAGAAACAAACAAGCTTATCAAACATCCTATAGTTCATCAAATATTATCTTCCTAATATCTGATCAAGAAAAACAGATTTTCAAAACTAATTTATATGTTTTAACGAAAAAGAAATAGATACTAATCCTTCACATTTTACACTGCAGATGTCCAAGAGGAATGCGATAATAACTCCTGTAATCAACAACAGAAGCACCAGGAGCCTATAAAGATGGTAAAACAAGAGCCACTCACAGAAGATGAGTTGTTCTTGAAGTAGAAACTCATAAAGAGCTTATCAAATTCTTGAATATTCCTCAATGATTCCAGCAAAATGCAAATATCATAGCAAATCAACGCAAAAATCACAAACAAAAACCAAATCCAAACCCTAATTAACAGATCTACCAAACAAAAAAAAGGAAAAAATTAATTAAACCTGAGCAGCCTTGTAGGCTGTGAGAATACTCTCAGCGGCTTCTTTCCTCTCAGCACCAGTCTTAAACTCAGCCGCAAATACCTATGATAATCTCCCATCATCTTCAAATAAAATACCTTAGAATCACCACTACTAGCAGGAGGAATAAGCTTAGTGTCCAGAAGCTTCAAAATACCGTCACAAATATCAGAAAGCTAATTCTCAATGCGAGTGAAAAATCGTGAAAGCTGTAGATCTTCTTCTACTTAGATCTCCGTCTCATCTATCGGCGCTTCCTCTTCAATCTCCTCATACGCTTCTTCTTCCACTGCAAAAATCAATCAAATCAACAAGTTGAACTTCAAATTAGTTAACAATGGTGGAAAAACTCAACTGAACCGAACAAATCAATGAAATTAAGGAAGAAACTAAAGTTAATCGATTAGTAAAACAGGAAATCGAACTAAATTGAACAAAATCGAACAGAAAATCGCAAAATCAAACAAAATCGAACAAAATTGATGAAAATTTCAAAAACCTTAAAACCTCAAATCATGCAAAAAATAGCGAAATTAACACAAAGAACTCACCTGGTAATAGATCGTAGAGCTGAAAAATTGCTGAAATCAAAGTAATTGAAGCTGAATTTGAAAAAAGTAGCGTGAAAATTGGGGGAAAAAATGTCGAGAAATTAGGAGAGAGAAAGCAGGAGAGAGGAGGGAGAGGAGGAAGAAAATAACGGAGGAGAGAGAAATTGTTTTCGTGGGAGGAGAGAGAAAATTAGTATATAAACGTTAGATGTCATCCGCTAGATTATAATCTACGGCTAGGATGAATCGTTTTCAGTTTTCACCCTAACATTTGTTTTCACATTATCCATACTCTATATATATATATATATATATATATATATATATATATATATATATATATATATATATATATATATATATATATAATGGGTGATATGCTATGATATTTTCTAATACATCACAAGAGAAGGAAAATTAAAATTATCAAATTAAGTAGCTAAATAAAATTCAAACTAAACATCTTATGAATTACTCGAGTTATTTTGCTAGGATCGTCGTTTCACCTATAGCGATAAAAATCACATTATCTACATTAGACTAGAACACGTTTTACACTAATTTATGATCAATGAAGATGAGCTAAACTCACAACAAAAGGCAACTACTCCATATTATATCATGCAATAATTGTCACGAGTAAAACATATAAGGTCAATAAGCGTGTAATCAGTAGTGTATAAGTGATGTAACATCATATAGGTTATAATATCTACATAATTTGATCTCAGATTTTAAGTACAATCACTAAATATTTTACCAACTAAACTAGTTAACATTCACACGGATAAGCATTCAGTAAACCGAACAAATGATTGGTTCTAATTGAGCATAATCAACAAATCAAAAGAAAACCACTAACAAAAATCAAAATCAGAATAACATTTATCAATGGACTAAATCAAGATCCGTCAAAGCAACAACGTCCATTATTCCCATAATCAACTCCATTAGTTATTCTTTTTCTTTTTATTAGTGATGCAACAACATCCATCACCAAAAGAAAAGCTAAAAATAGGCAAATACATGGAAAAACTAACAATATTTACGGCAAAAATTTGGGAGTTTGTGACCCAAATCATATGTTCTTCTTACACCCTGACACACACCATCCGCTTCATTCTTACGCCAACTTTTTTGTCCCTTAATTCGAATCTCATCTCCCTCTATTTCTCTCCCATTTCTCATTCTCTCAATCTCATTCTCATTCTTATTCTCTCTCCTATTTTCAAAACAAACCCAGAAATTCTTTCGATCAAAGAAGAAGAAGAAAGATGTCGTGGCAAACTTACGTTGATGATCACTTGATGTGTGAGATTGATGGGACTGGTCACTATCTTACTGCTGCAGCAATTCTGGGTATTGATGGAAGTGTTTGGGCTCAGAGTTCTACCTTCCCTCAGGTTGAATTTTATGTTTTTTCCTTTGTTGATTTTGGTGGGATTTTTTGGATTTAATTTTATGTGGGTATGATTGTTTTTGGTTGATCTGACGTTTTAGGGTCATTTTGTTTTGATGATTATTTTTATGGGTTGGCTTTGATTTTGTTTTCAGTTTTGTTCATTTGATTTAATCGTGGTTTAGGTTTCGATTATGGTGTTTGTTGAATTTGAATTGCTTGGATCAAGGAATTGTTGTTGGTTTGATTGTGTGTGAATTTAATTTAATTTAATTATTTGGGTGTGATCCTATAAGTAGGGTGGAGGAATTGTTATATGATTGTTGAATGAATGGGTAATTACATACATTTAGATGATATTTTTGTGGGATTTATAGTTGCAAATTTTGGTAAAAAGCGACGAAAATGTAACTTGTGCACTGTCATTCTCTTATATGTTTATGTCCGCTGAAATAATTGGACTTGGACATAATTTCGATGTGGTTTGTGTTTCATGGAATTACAGTTTAAGCCAGATGAAATAGCTGCTGTTGTGAAGGATTTCGAGGAGCCCGGTACCCTTGCACCGACCGGGTTGCACCTTGGTGGGGCTAAGTACATGGTTATTCAAGGTGAACCTGGGGCTGTTATTCGTGGAAAGAAGGTATAGAATGATACTGATTGATTCTTGATGGTTTGATCTGAGTTTGAGTTCTGGTTTTGCTGGTGTTTTGTTTTTTTCTTTGCTCATACGTTGCATGTCACTCTTCGCATGATCTAGAGGCGTTCTTGGAAATAGATACTGGTACATAAGGAATCATTAGTGTTAGAGGTCCTGTTTTCTCTATCAAGATGCCACGGTATTAGATTCGGTGAGCTGAAGTACGGAGTAGCATTTATCTTTGGTTGGAATGTGTTTGAACTACTATGACCTTATTGTTATGGATTTGTGCTTTGGTAGTAAAACATATGGGCAGGCTTTAAAATCAAATAGCTTTGATGAATTTGATGGTTCTTTTGTTTCTAAATTGCTGATTGGTAATGAATTTTATGTGATCATACTTGTCTCCGATCTTCTTTGTTGAGGTATGATATAGGATTGATTATCATTGATCTGAATTATGGTAATTCAAGAAGAGTAATTACCAACAAGAGAAAATTGTAGGAAGACCAAGACCGCGAAAGTTAAATTATGGCGTAGTGCAATTCCTTGCTATCAACATAATTCTATGATCAATAAATGATGCTGGATATGCTCCTCTATTAAATACAACTATACAAGTATGATTTTTGTCGCCTCTTTTCTGTGGCAATGTTGTTTTAAACTAGGAAAAGAATCCAAAAGGTTTGCTCCACTATTAAAATTAGTGAGCACAGCCACTATAGTACGTAGCTTATAAGGAAACAAAAAGAGCTAAATCTGAAAATGAAAAGTATTAGAAATATTACGTATCTAGTTTCTATGTAACCTGAAAAATGATCCTTCAAAATTAGCCTATGGAGTTGGGAGCAGTCACTACTCACTAGCTTTACATATTCAATGCTATTAAACCTGCTTTCTTTATTTTAACTGAATTTAGATATTTGTTGCTGGTAGATTGGATAATCTAATGTATCAGACTGAAGACTTTGTGAGGTCTGAACAATGTTTCCTTTGGAAACAACAATTGAAAATTAAATGTAGATGTGTACCCAACAAGTGCCGTCTCATTAAAAGGCTTACTATGTGGGTTGTGCTGATGTTGATGATTAGTTTTGTACTAATCAAGTTTGATGCCTTTTTGTTATTTAAATCTTACTGTCTTGTGATCTGTTGTACGTAATGAAAACTGGAACTTTCTTCTGTTTCAAATGTTTCATCGCATGAATTTCTGAGGCCTCAGATAAATATCAAAAGACTTCATGATTCAGCTACTTTTTACAGAAAAATTATGATGTTAATTCCTGGTTGCTTATTGTAAGTCATTGTGTATTCTTCAGGGCCCCGGTGGAATTTGTGTTAAGAAGACCGATCAGGCTTTGGTCGTTGGTATCTATGATGAGCCTGTTACCCCTGGTCAGTGCAACATAATTGTTGAAAGGCTGGGTGATTATCTCATTGAACAGGGCCTCTAAATATTTTGGTATGCTCTCTCCTTCATACCCACCTCTCTGGAAAAATGAACATCCAATTCATGCTCCTTACCTCTCGTCTTTATTAAATCATGTTTCAGGCTGTTCAGTCAGCTCTTTTTCTAAAACAGCTGAAGTAGGGGAAGTTTTATTAAAGTAAAACATTTGTTATCCTTCCCTTACTCTACTTTGGAGGGAGCTCAGTGTTCTGGGCTGTGCTTTTCAAAGGAAAAATATTACGTAGTATATTAAAAACTGATACATACATAGTTGACAATCAATTTTGTTTCACTATCAACTGATCCTAACAGATTTTAAATTTCTTTTGAAGGTTAATATTTACATATTTGACATACACAACGAGCTTGGTGTGGATTGCTGCTCGGGATTGGCATTTTAATTTTTTTTTTTTGTTTTCTATTTTTCTTTTTCGCTCCTTAGAAGGGGTAAATGTTAGATTGTCTGGCATAAGTTTATGACAGGAAAGGTTTTGGTGTTTCTTGTATGAATTATTTGCCATTATCATGAATCATGATGTATTGATCCTTATGATTCTCATTTCTTAGAACATTTGCTTCCTAAAAAGTTTGAAAGTACATACTCTTGTTCAGAGTGAGAAATCAATGTCATGGAACTGGCAACTTTTTTGTGAATTTTTTTATTAGTATTGTTAAAGGCATAGTTAATCAAAGCAACATCAACTTTGTGTATGAAATAACATTATGCAGATGGCATTTGTTTTAATGATTGACTACTTTTCTGATCATAAGATCTATTAGTGAACAATAATGTTGATTCCTTTTGTGCATTATTGATTCTGTAAAATATGTTGGCCCAACTAATGAGATTATATAAGAAAAAGGAAAGGGAATAAATGAACCGCAAAGGAACAAACACGAAAAAAAAAAAGAAAAAAAAAAAGTTTAATTGTTTCACGTACATGTACACTCGATTGTATATATATTGTATATATGTAATGAAAGAAATAGCGTAATTTTCTTTTGGACAAGCTAGTTGATAATATATTAATATACCAAGCAAAACTTGGTGGGGAACTCACCTTGTGACTTTGAGGTCACAAATTCGAGCGCCACCAACTGCATTTTCTTGGGAGTAGGGGGGTTCCCTTACCTCCCCCTCTACTCTCAAGCGTTAAACTGCGGAGCTGGGTTGGCTTAACTTATGAGATGTGCCGAAAAAAAAAAATTCTAGTTGATAATATTTTCAATATTCTTTTTTATTGAATAATTAATGCAGTATTTTATTTATTTTATTTTATTTTATTTATACAATGAAATAATGGATATTGTTATGAAATTACTTAAAAGCTTAAATGAGAGTTTTACCATTGGAAGTTAAGTTTTGGGGGGAAAATGCTACAGATTTGCAATTTTTTAGTCTTACCATTATTATAATCTTAATGTGCATAGAAAACTAAACAATTACGGAGTATAAGAAAGCGAAAACAGCTTAACTACTTAAGTGATTTTAGAAAAGGGAATGGGATGTAAACAAATGAGAAAATGAAAGGGTAAGGTTAGACCGTTACCTTTTTTTGGTTGCATTAGATAATAAGGGAAAGCCATGACTAGACCGCCTTACTAGCGTCTGTAGCTACTAGAAAATTGGTCGTGAGCTCGTGGCTACTGTTTCGGGGTTATTTGATGTGTCCTGCGGGAGAGTTACAATTCCAAGAATGCCCTTCGACGCCTGTGCCTGCAAAATCACGAAGACTCCTGGGGGTAGGAGCTCCGCCTCCGACGATCAAGTTAGTAAAGATACGGGAGGTAGAATGCACGTAATGTAGAAGTTACTTCTCGCGTAATGGGAGAATTCTGCAATTAATGTTGCTCGGGGTAAGTGTTTTTCTTTTTGAGGAGTATTCAATGTGAACAACAAATGTTCCAGCCCCCCATTAATGAGGGTCCTTCCACTATTTATAGTGGGGAAGGGATGGTTCCCCTTTTAGGGTTTAGAGGACACGTGTCAGCAGAGGATTGGAGCCCTGCTGACCAACGGCTGGATGCCACGTGTCACTAGGCCATTGGGCCACGTGTTTAGGGTATTTTTACCCCAAACATTTGCCCCTCACTGGTGCTGACGTGGCAGGGTGCCACGTGGCGCCGGTGAAAGGTTTTTTTTTTTTATTTTTTTTTTTTTTTACAACTCTTCAGATTCTTTTTGAAGGATGGAAAAGAAGAAGGCGAAGAGTCACGACTTTTCACCTTCTGGGACAAATTCTATAAATAGGAGAAGATGTCCCCCGAGCTCTCATTTACAAACTTTGCCAAATTTCTGAAAATTTGAGAGCAGCCGGCAATTTGAGAGTTGAGAGCATTCGGAGTTGAGATTCGTTGAGAGCAACCGGTCTACAGACCGTCTGGGTCGTTGCAAGCTAGCCAAAGGTTTTCGAGAGGGTAATCAGAGAAACCCAGCCGGATTTTGAACCGCCAACGTCTTCGCAAGCATCCCAAAGAATTTCCAGATTTTCTTCTAGGTACCGTCTCTATTCTTTCTAGCTTTTTCATGTATTTCCGTTTGAGTCTTTTACTCGCATTTTTGTTCATTGGTCCCATAAGTAGATGGACCCCTTATACCCATACCCGGAACCTAGCTGTGAACTCAGCCGGTTTATTAGTACGGCTGAGTCTAGAACTGGGTCTGCCGCCTCTGTTCTTTGGGACAACCCTTTTTCAACACCCATATCGACCGACTCTGTGTCTGTGCAGGACACAATGGCCAGAATCCGGTCTACTGCCAGAGATCCCAACTACAGAAGTGGGAGCTCAGATGAGCAGCCGCCTGAGGTCCCAGCTTCAGGCGGTGAGGTAGAGCAAGGAGAGGTAGAGCAGAGAGGCTCACCCGGGGGCGCTCCTAGCACCCCGGGTGATAGCATTTTAAACGAAGAGACTGCTCCCCTCCAGGAGACCAGAGAGCGGGTAGGCTCTGATAAGGAGGTCTCTAACTCCCCAGCCGGCTCTGATGCCGGTCACGTTCAAAGTAGCAGTAGCAGCTACTTAACCGAATCTGAGGATAGCGAGGAGGCGGAGAGGCCTTCTTGGGATAATAGGAACGATCCCCTCATGATCGCCGTCTCCTCTAAGGACCGCGAGCTCATGCGGGCTGCGCTGCCAGATTTTATCAAACGGCGGCCGCTGGGGGGTGACTATACAATAAAAATCCCGGCTGAACTGGGAACAATATGGTGGGAGGATGGACAACCGAACGCGAACGCTTGGTTCAGGTGCTACGAGGCGGCCTTCGTGGCCGGAGTCCGCTTCCCTCTCCACGACACAATAAAAGCCATACTTAGGGGGTATGGCCTAGGTCTCTGGCAATTAACCCCCAACTCATGGGTAAATATTTTAGGGTATATCGCCGCCTGCGAGATGCAGGGCCTCAACCCCGGCTGGGAGGCGTTTACCCACATGCATTACTTGAGTAGGAGCCCAGGCGGCTGGAGAGCCTGGTATACCTTGACCACCCAGCCCAAATACCTTATGACCTTGGACAAGCCATCCAAATGGTCGGACTGGAAGCACCGGTTCTACTTGGTTAAGGCCCCAACTACGGCAGAGAACAGAGAATTCCGGATCTACAACCGGAAACCAGAACTCTTGGGGACCAAGTGCTGCCTGCCCCCTGTCCCGGAGGATGATAGAGAGACCATCCTTGACTCCGGGTTTTTTGAGTTAGTTCCTGACACCCTCTCATCCGGAGAGATAGTAAGGGTACCTAGAAACTGGGTGCCCAAACATGAATTTTTTAGGGACGAATGCTTCTTGTCCGCTTGTGGTCTAAGCAGCATGTTTAAAAAAACGTATGTATTCGGAACTCAGCCGGTTTCTTTCGAACCGGATGCTTTTATTTCCTTGCTTATTTATTATTCTAACCGTGTGCCTTCCTCTGCAGAAGAAGCCAAGAAAATGCTGCCCACCGAGAAGACACCGGCTAGGTCGGCTGCCGACATCCGGAAAGCCAATCTCGAGAAAAAACTTGCTGCCCAGGCGGCGAGGAAGGTATAACCGTCTGATCCTTCTCGTTTATTTCAATCCTTTTATCCCATAACTTATATTTTTCTCGTTTATAGGACGGGAAGCAGATGCCCCGGTCCCTTCAAAAACAGGTCAGGCCTCCGCCGACCCAACAAGAGTCTGCATCCAAGGTGCAGAAGACAGCCGACCGGCAAACTACCGGCGGCAAATCAATAAAGGTCCCAGGCGGGCCTGGATCTGCGGATGTGCTTTCTGCCATCCCATTGAGGGCCGCAACCGGTCCCTCTGAAGGCCGTTCGGGCCGCCAAGGTAACTTCGACCTTACACTGCTTGACCTGCCCATGCGGGTCAAGTCTTACTCACAGTCTCGATCGCAGCCGGGGGATTCTCCAATCAGCCGGCAATCTATAGGCAGAGCATATGCGAGTTTCTCACCGTCTCTTTCTGGTGCAGATAATTCTCCCCGCTGGCCGGACGGGGCACAATATGCCCGGGCCATGCTGAAAGCCGTCCCCAGGGACGAGAAGGAGGCGATCCCTGGGATCAACTCCTTTAATGCCGACCGGGTGCTGGTCGACCTGGCCGACGTATGCTCCAACAACCATGCGGTAATTTTCTTGACGTGCATTTTTAAATATGCAGTATTAACCGGCTGTATTTTTGCAGGCTATGCTGCGCGTAGAGGGGCTCAAACGAGCTTATACCCGCAAGTCTGAAGAGGTAAGGAGAAGCAAACGGGCTGTTGATGACGCCCATAATGTTGCTGACTACTCTTTGTACATGCATGGCTTAGAATCTAAATCTATACGCATGGAACAGGCGGAGAAGACCAAGGCCCTCCAACAGCAGATTGATCAGCTGAAAAACCAAGTTGACCAACTGCAGGCGTCCCTGGATGATGCCAATAAAAAGTTAGAGGAACAGAAAGAGCCCCTCCAACGGCTGAGCAAGGCGGAGACTGAAAATGGCCGCCTTGCCAAAGAGAATGAGCGCCTGCGCAAAGAGGCGGCTGCTGCCAATGAGAACTTCAAGGCCACCTTGGAGTCGGAGCAGGAGAGGCTCATTGAAGAGAATGAGCATGACTGTGCAAACCGGATGCAACGGGCGTTTTCCCTCATTCACCCGGAGGCGAATGAGCCGGGGCTAGGACCCTATGACGCTTGGGTTAGAGAGGAGATTGCGCGACGGCAGGCGGAGGCTGCTGAAGAGGAAGAAATTGTTCCTGAAGCCGACGCAGCCGCTCACCCTGATCCAACCCAGAACCAACCGGAAGAGGACCGGTTCACTGTTCGCCTGGAGTAGCAACTACTTCCCGGCCTGCGCGCCTTGCATTATCTTGTAATAGCACCGGATGAGATGGGCTAAGCTGTAATAATTTTTATTTTGAATATTAACATTTTCACCGGCTGAGCCGGCTTTTGAATGCTTTTTATGTTTCTGCACTTCCATACTAGAATTCTTGTTATTTTTTTATACATATTTCTGCGAGGATAACCAAAAGAACCCCGCCGGTAACACTATCGCTTGGGTCTTCGCAAACAGCAAAGAAATTTGCAAAGGTTGCCAAGAGGACCCCACCGGTAACACTGCCGTCTGGGTCTTCGCAAACTAGGCGAAGAAATTTGCAAGGGTTGCCAAGAAGACCCCACCGGTAACACTGTCGTCTGGGTCTTCGCAAACTAGGCGAAGAAATTTACTAGGGTTGCCAAGAAGACCCCAC